TGCATGCTTTCCAGACGACTCTAGAGGATCCCCTGGTGAAGTGCCGCTTGCCACGTATCCGCTTTAATACGCATCAGAACGCGCAGGCAAATATTCAAGTACTTACTTGCATTGATGAGCACAGAACAATGTTGCGATCCACGTTGCTGCATAGGCACTAGGCGAGTAGTGTGCACTGAATCGGAAGTAAGGGGCTATGGCTTTACACTGTGGTCTATTTGTGTTAGCCAGGGCTGAGGGGCTCCTTGGTTAGCAGTTGAGTGTGGAGAGGCACGAATACACTGTGTGCCTTGGCAGAGGACTGGAAGAGGCAACAGGGTCACTAGCGTTTTGTTGGTTCAGTCAGATCTAACGGTAAGCAGCGAAGAACTGTTAGGCAGGAGCCGGAAAAAGAAGGTAGAGCGGGGTTAGAAGCATCAAATGGTGAGTGTTGGGGGCAAATTCAGTTTGGGACGTGGTGGCAGGGTTTGGTTAGGCGGAGCAATAAGTATTTGGCGTGGGACGCCTGTAAAAAGCAACGGGGAGGACTAATTTGCGGAGCGACAGAATGTAATGAAGGCAGGCGAAGAGCAGATTTGCTCGTAGAAAGAAGTGAAACGTGCAAATCTGTGAATATTAGTCGAGTCGCGGGAGAATCTTTGTGTGGAAGGCGTTTTCGAGAGTAAACACAGGTGTGGCTGTTTCGATTCGGAACTGAACACGGGGAAACATGCAAGAAAAGAGTCAGAAAGGGCGAGCATAGTTGATTTATAGAAGTAAAATGACGTTTGTGAACTGTCACGAGTGAGTGTACATTTAGAAAAGGGCAGAAGAAGTGGGAAATATAGTGTAGGAATAGGGTAGTTGTGTTGTATAAAAAGCCTGGTGTGGAAGCTGTCTGTCTGGCGCCAGACCCCGCAGCGGGCAGTTCCGCGGTCCCTGCACTCACCACAGTGGGGGCTTTTCCCTGCTCTGTTCCCAGCCTCGGGCGGTCCGCCCCGCATCATCTCCCGCGAGGCCCACACCTCCGTGCGGGCCCCTCGGGGGGCTGCGGGTTCGCAAAGGACGGAGCACTTCCCCCAGTTATGCGGGCAGGCCCCAGCAGACTTCATTTCGCCACCTGACCGACCACCGCTTGGTTCACAGCGGGCCGCTACACCCGCCGGTCGAGCACATCCAACAAAGCGCAACTATTTCTAGGCATACACCCATCACGCTGTCGGTAATGAGATTGTATCCATGCACGCCGCGTGGCTAGCATACAGGCTGGAGGGAACTAGCGGAACTTTGGTGAAGTGCCGCTTGCCACGTATCCGCTTTAATACGCATCAGAACGCGCAGGCAAATATTCAAGTACTTACTTGCATTGATGAGCACAGAACAATGTTGCGATCCACGTTGCTGCATAGGCACTAGGCGAGTAGTGTGCACTGAATCGGAAGTAAGGGGCTATGGCTTTACACTGTGGTCTATTTGTGTTAGCCAGGGCTGAGGGGCTCCTTGGTTAGCAGTTGAGTGTGGAGAGGCACGAATACACTGTGTGCCTTGGCAGAGGACTGGAAGAGGCAACAGGGTCACTAGCGTTTTGTTGGTTCAGTCAGATCTAACGGTAAGCAGCGAAGAACTGTTAGGCAGGAGCCGGAAAAAGAAGGTAGAGCGGGGTTAGAAGCATCAAATGGTGAGTGTTGGGGGCAAATTCAGTTTGGGACGTGGTGGCAGGGTTTGGTTAGGCGGAGCAATAAGTATTTGGCGTGGGACGCCTGTAAAAAGCAACGGGGAGGACTAATTTGCGGAGCGACAGAATGTAATGAGGGCAGGCGAAGAGCAGATTTGCTCGTGGAAAGAAGTGAAACGTGCAAATCTGTGAATATTAGTCGAGTCGCGGGAGAATCTTTGTGTGGAAGGCGTTTTCGAGAGTAAACACAGGTGTGGCTGTTTCGATTCGGAACTGAACACGGGGGAACATGCAAGAAAAGAGTCAGAAAGGGCGAGCATAGTTGATTTATAGAAGTAAAATGACGTTTGTGAACTGTCACGAGTGAGTGTACATTTAGAAAAGGGCAGAAGAAGTGGGAAATATAGTGTAGGAATAGGGTAGTTGTGTTGTATAAAAAGCCTGGTGTGGAAGCTGTCTGTCTGGCGCCAGACCCCGCAGCGGGCAGTTCCGCGGTCCCTGCACTCACCACAGTGGGGGCTTTTCCCTGCTCTGTTCCCAGCCTCGGGCGGTCCGCCCCGCATCATCTCCCGCGAGGCCCACACCTCCGTGCGGGCCCCTCGGGGGGCTGCGGGTTCGCAAAGGACGGAGCACTTCCCCCAGTTATGCGGGCAGGCCCCAGCAGACTTCATTTCGCCACCTGACCGACCACCGCTTGGTTCACAGCGGGCCGCTACACCCGCCGGTCGAGCACATCCAACAAAGCGCAACTATTTCTAGGCATACACCCATCACGCTGTCGGTAATGAGATTGTATCCATGCACGCCGCGTGGCTAGCATACAGGCTGGAGGGAACTAGCGGAACTTTGGTGAAGTGCCGCTTGCCACGTATCCGCTTTAATACGCATCAGAACGCGCAGGCAAATATTCAAGTACTTACTTGCATTGATGAGCACAGAACAATGTTGCGATCCACGTTGCTGCATAGGCACTAGGCGAGTAGTGTGCACTGAATCGGAAGTAAGGGGCTATGGCTTTACACTGTGGTCTATTTGTGTTAGCCAGGGCTGAGGGGCTCCTTGGTTAGCAGTTGAGTGTGGAGAGGCACGAATACACTGTGTGCCTTGGCAGAGGACTGGAAGAGGCAACAGGGTCACTAGCGTTTTGTTGGTTCAGTCAGATCTAACGGTAAGCAGCGAAGAACTGTTAGGCAGGAGCCGGAAAAAGAAGGTAGAGCGGGGTTAGAAGCATCAAATGGTGAGTGTTGGGGGCAAATTCAGTTTGGGACGTGGTGGCAGGGTTTGGTTAGGCGGAGCAATAAGTATTTGGCGTGGGACGCCTGTAAAAAGCAACGGGGAGGACTAATTTGCAGAGCGACAGAATGTAATGAGGGCAGGCGAAGAGCAGATTTGCTCGTGGAAAGAAGTGAAACGTGCAAATCTGTGAATATTAGTCGAGTCGCGGGAGAATCTTTGTGTGGAAGGCGTTTTCGAGAGTAAACACAGGTGTGGCTGTTTCGATTCGGAACTGAACACGGGGGAACATGCAAGAAAAGAGTCAGAAAGGGCGAGCATAGTTGATTTATAGAAGTAAAATGACGTTTGTGAACTGTCACGAGTGAGTGTACATTTAGAAAAGGGCAGAAGAAGTGGGAAATATAGTGTAGGAATAGGGTAGTTGTGTTGTATAAAAAGCCTGGTGTGGAAGCTGTCTGTCTGGCGCCAGACCCCGCAGCGGGCAGTTCCGCGGTCCCTGCACTCACCACAGTGGGGGCTTTTCCCTGCTCTGTTCCCAGCCTCGGGCGGTCCGCCCCGCATCATCTCCCGCGAGGCCCACACCTCCGTGCGGGCCCCTCGGGGGGCTGCGGGTTCGCAAAGGACGGAGCACTTCCCCCAGTTATGCGGGCAGGCCCCAGCAGACTTCATTTCGCCACCTGACCGACCACCGCTTGGTTCACAGCGGGCCGCTACACCCGCCGGTCGAGCACATCCAACAAAGCGCAACTATTTCTAGGCATACACCCATCACGCTGTCGGTAATGAGATTGTATCCATGCACGCCGCGTGGCTAGCATACAGGCTGGAGGGAACTAGCGGAACTTTGGTGAAGTGCCGCTTGCCACGTATCCGCTTTAATACGCATCAGAACGCGCAGGCAAATATTCAAGTACTTACTTGCATTGATGAGCACAGAACAATGTTGCGATCCACGTTGCTGCATAGGCACTAGGCGAGTAGTGTGCACTGAATCGGAAGTAAGGGGCTATGGCTTTACACTGTGGTCTATTTGTGTTAGCCAGGGCTGAGGGGCTCCTTGGTTAGCAGTTGAGTGTGGAGAGGCACGAATACACTGTGTGCCTTGGCAGAGGACTGGAAGAGGCAACAGGGTCACTAGCGTTTTGTTGGTTCAGTCAGATCTAACGGTAAGCAGCGAAGAACTGTTAGGCAGGAGCCGGAAAAAGAAGGTAGAGCGGGGTTAGAAGCATCAAATGGTGAGTGTTGGGGGCAAATTCAGTTTGGGACGTGGTGGCAGGGTTTGGTTAGGCGGAGCAATAAGTATTTGGCGTGGGACGCCTGTAAAAAGCAACGGGGAGGACTAATTTGCGGAGCGACAGAATGTAATGAGGGCAGGCGAAGAGCAGATTTGCTCGTGGAAAGAAGTGAAACGTGCAAATCTGTGAATATTAGTCGAGTCGCGGGAGAATCTTTGTGTGGAAGGCGTTTTCGAGAGTAAACACAGGTGTGGCTGTTTCGATTCGGAACTGAACACGGGGGAACATGCAAGAAAAGAGTCAGAAAGGGCAAGCATAGTTGATTTATAGAAGTAAAATGACGTTTGTGAACTGTCACGAGTGAGTGTACATTTAGAAAAGGGCAGAAGAAGTGGGAAATATAGTGTAGGAATAGGGTAGTTGTGTTGTATAAAAAGCCTGGTGTGGAAGCTGTCTGTCTGGCGCCAGACCCCGCAGCGGGCAGTTCCGCGGTCCCTGCACTCACCACAGTGGGGGCTTTTCCCTGCTCTGTTCCCAGCCTCGGGCGGTCCGCCCCGCATCATCTCCCGCGAGGCCCACACCTCCGTGCGGGCCCCTCGGGGGGCTGCGGGTTCGCAAAGGACGGAGCACTTCCCCCAGTTATGCGGGCAGGCCCCAGCAGACTTCATTTCGCCACCTGACCGACCACCGCTTGGTTCACAGCGGGCCGCTACACCCGCCGGTCGAGCACATCCAACAAAGCGCAACTATTTCTAGGCATACACCCATCACGCTGTCGGTAATGTGATTGTATCCATGCACGCCGCGCGGCTAGCATACAGGCTGGAGGGAACTAGCGGAACTTTGGTGAAGTGCCGCTTGCCACGTATCCGCTTTAATACGCATCAGAACGCGCAGGCAAATATTCAAGTACTTACTTGCATTGATGAGCACAGAACAATGTTGCGATCCACGTTGCTGCATAGGCACTAGGCGAGTAGTGTGCACTGAATCGGAAGTAAGGGGCTATGGCTTTACACTGTGGTCTATTTGTGTTAGCCAGGGCTGAGGGGCTCCTTGGTTAGCAGTTGAGTGTGGAGAGGCACGAATACACTGTGTGCCTTGGCAGAGGACTGGAAGAGGCAACAGGGTCACTAGCGTTTTGTTGGTTCAGTCAGATCTAACGGTAAGCAGCGAAGAACTGTTAGGCAGGAGCCGGAAAAAGAAGGTAGAGCGGGGTTAGAAGCATCAAATGGTGAGTGTTGGGGGCAAATTCAGTTTGGGACGTGGTGGCAGGGTTTGGTTAGGCGGAGCAATAAGTATTTGGCGTGGGACGCCTGTAAAAAGCAACGGGGAGGACTAATTTGCGGAGCGACAGAATGTAATGAGGGCAGGCGAAGAGCAGATTTGCTCGTGGAAAGAAGTGAAACGGGGGATCCTCTAGAGTCGACTGCGAAACATGCAA